GAAGCACTGTGTGTGTGTGTGTGGTGGGGGGGGGGTAGTATTTTAAACCCCTTGCTGGTGTCTGCCTCTGAGAAACTGATGCGTGGGCACGGCCTGGCATTACAACTGTTCAGGGACAATCCTACAGTAGAAACTACACAGCTCAACAGGCTTCTGCTATTCCACAGATTGAGGTTTTCAAATGAGGCCTCTGGAGTGCGTCTGACAATGTATCAACTGTATAAAAGTGACCATGGGGTACGGGGTGTCCCACCCGTAGAGACGAAGTGGCACAGCGGCTTAGTACACTCAACACTAAGCAGGTTACCAAGCTAGAGGCATTATTGGCAACTCTAGAGGAGGTGCAGGCCTAGCCCATACCTCCCTTGCCATCGCTGCCGCCGGGCACCACTAACCCTCCGCTCTCTGCTTCCAGCTAAACTGGCCACCTCTGTGGAAGGCTTAAACATGGCGTCCGTGGAGCAGCAGAAGCAGCAGCAGAGTTACTTCGTGCGCCTGGGGTCCCTGTCCACCAAGCTCCGCCACCGAGCCTACCAGCACTCCCTGGGCAAGCTGAGGCATGCCCGGCAGAGCACCCAGGAGGTTCTGTCCCAGCTCCACCAAACCATCGAACTGGTAGGAACACAGCTGTGGGCCACACACATGCCCCTGGACTCCTCTGAAGCACCTCCAGTCACTCCTGGCTTGGCAAGGTCCCTTCCTGGTGCTGATCCCAGATATCTCTTCCCTTCCAGATGGAGCACGCCAAGCAGGGTGTTGATCAGAAGATCCGTGATGGCCAGGAGAAGCTGCACCAGATGTGGTTGGAGTGGAGCCAGAGGCAGCCAAGTCAGAGTAAGGAGACAGGCTCTGTGCAGCCAGAGGTAGGTCACAAGAGGGTGACTCCAGTCTCCTTGGTGTGGGGGAAGCCTGGTGTCCAGATTAACTTCTGACTTGACCCCTGTTTTGTTTGCAGCAGGTAGAGGAGCAGGCGCTGGCCATGTCCCGCAGCCTCACCCAGCAACTGCAGACCACCTGCCTGACTCTGGTGTCCAGCCTGCAAGGCCTCCCTGCTGACCTCCAGGACAAGGTGCAACTGGTTCGTCACCACGTCGAAGAACTACGTGCTTCATTCTCCGCTGCCGGCTCCTTCCATGACTTGACTGGCAGCGTCTTGGCCCAGAGCCGTGAACGAGTGACCAAGGCCCGCAAGCTGGTGGATGAACTGATGGAGCAGGTGGCGCATAATGTCCCCCATTCTTGGCTAGTGGGACCCTTCGCCCCATCAGGCAAGCAGCAGGAGGAAATGGAGATGGAGTCATGTCCTGCAGATTAAGGACTCAAAGGGGCTCTCCTAAGCATAGAGCTTCATGGGGGTTTGGGTAACTCATGCCACTTGTCACTTCCTGTCACAGATCTAGCCTGGCTCCATATCTAGATAGCAGCACTTGGTGTTTGGACACAAATGCCTCAGTCCTGGCATCCATCTTGCCTTGCTTAGGTTTGTTCTCTCCCACTAAACACTTGGGGAGGAGAAACTTATCCTGCATCTCACAGGTGTGGCTGTCTCCCAAACCTGCCTGTAGGCAGGGTCAGAGGCTTACCAGCAAAACTGATTCCCTCTGACTAGTCAAGAGATCCCATTTTGGGGGTCAAAGGCCCAGCTTTCAAGCTGGGGGGCCTAGTTTGCCATCTCTAGGCAACAGCCTCAGTCTTCAGAGCATTTGCCCAGCACCTCCAAAGCCTAGACCACTTCTGTTTAGCAACCAGCTTCAACCCTGACCTTGTCTCCTAGACTCCATTCAGGTGGTAGCAGTAGGCAGTTGAGCACATGTTGCGTTCTCAATCTGTCTTAGTGGCCTGCAAATTCTCCAGCGGCACAGTAAAGATGGCAGCTCCCCTGTCAAGGATTTCTGACCCAACTGGTCACTTCCTATGAGATGTTGTTCACTGCCGATCCCAAGCAAAT